ACGTCAGCTCCCCCATGTCCACACAGAGACACTCACCACAACACAACACTCCTTCAGAGCTTTTCCAGCCAGCTATTTAATCAGTTTATTTAGTGAAAAGGAATGCCTGAGACCTGGATTTAAAGTGCTGAACACCTATCTCTTTCTTTACAGTGCAAGGAGTTTTTGAGACCCTTTAAGAAGTCACTTAGGAAACTGCATTTGCCCCAGCACCTCCCCACAAAGAAAAAACTGAAGTACACGAAGGAAAGTTTGACCATAATCGGGGACCGCATCGATCTGTTTCTCCAGCGGTACTGCAGAGCCTCAGAAGTCAAGCACTGGCAGAAGTAAGGGTCTCTTCTTACGCAGCACCGGTGGTATTGCACCGGCAATGCTCCCAGCGAGACGGGCTCCTGCCCCTGCTGCTCCCAGCAGGCATTTAGACACATACTTTGACCCTACATTTCCAGGCACTGGAAATGAGATTGGGTGTCAACAGGAGACTTCTATAGCTTGCTTTAACTGCTGAATGCTTACAAATTTTACAGGTAATTTTAGCAGAGGCTGTGTGGCACTTACTCCTGCCCAGAGCAAAGCCAATTTTGATGTGCTGTCCATCAGCAACATCCCTTTGCAAATAAAGGGGCTCTTACGTGGCAACCAGAGTTAATAGATAATCCTTCCCATACTTAGGGAAGAAAAATTGTTTAAAAGTTTATAAGCTTTGGGAAGAAAAAAAACAAAGGGGGAGAGGGAAGAGAGAAAAAAAGCCACACAAAGGGTATGTCAGTGGTTACACTTGCCACACCAGAACTAGGGAGCAGAATGAGGAGGAGGATGAAGGTTATACTCACATGCACAATCCGTGTGTCTTTTCCCAAGGAATTTCTGGCAGTTCGTCTCCCTCTTCTCAGAGATGGATGCAAAGCAGCTGCAGAAGCTGTATAAGTACATCAAGAATAATCAAATGGATAAGCTTCTGGTAAGCGAACAGGAAATTTAATACCCCACAAGGTGTTCCTCCTGTGCTAACTTTAAGGGAATAACTATACCATGCAGCTTACATGGGTTGATCCATGTCAAAGGAGAAACATGCTACCGAGAAGCCTGTTTATCCAAAGGCCACAAATCCTGCAGATATTGCCAGTTCCTACCATAACACAGGCACTGGGCTATCGCAACAGCCAGTAGCTTTCCCTGGCTAGCTCTGGGAAGCTGAGCTGGTGTCCCCAGCACTGCAGTTTACAATTATCAGAGCTCTTCACTGATCTCATGTTTCCAGTCATTCTTTACAGGCCAAATCTGATCCGTAGTTTTATCTGATGCTATAAAAGTTAAACTTTGCAACAAGCAACTAGTTCAGGTAAAGCCTGTGCTTGCCAAAGCTAATTTCCGTGCCTGAGCATCAGCCACACATGGAAACTGTAATGAACACTTTCCCAAGAACACCGACTCCAAAGGGTTAACCCATTTAAGTACACTCATAGCCAACCATAAACATATCTCCTGAGCAAAGGCTGAGTACACCAAGAAGTTCAGAGGTCCACAAGAAACACACACTTTAAGAAGTTTATTAAAAAGAAATTAAAAACAGATCTACAATTAAAAAAAAAAAGGAATCAACTAGGAAATTGTTTTGAGTAAATTAGAAAACGGCAGCAGGCAAGACCTCATGGGTTACGAGAACACTGCTTGCTTCACCTTAAAAAGGGAACTGTGGTCATCTGATAGCTGGCAGTGATAAGGCCATAAATAAGTTTGAGGCTGCAGGTAAACAGCTGTCTCCTCCAGTCAGAGAGAAAGGGGGAAGCCGGCCATGCAATTTTTGCTTTTAGTTTATGGGGAAGCAAAACCATTTATTTATTTTTAAGGTTCTAAAAAGGTATTCCAAAAATGAGGAAATCAAACCTCTTGTAAAAAAAAAAAAACCCAAACACAAATCCCTGTTGATAGCATGAGACGCCTGAGATGAACTGGGAGATATTAAAAAAAGCAACTGGCAGCTCCGGGAGGCAGGCGGCGACAGGCATTCTTTCTCCCTTAAACTCGTGAGTGCTGCGGAGGGTGAATCGAGCTCCATTTCCATCATGGCCCTTCTCAGAGGCTCGGCCAAGCCCAGGACACGACCTCAGCTAAGGACAAGCCCCGCTGCTCCCGCAGGGTGCACGGCTGAGGGTAGCTCCCCATAGCCACCTCGGAACAAGTACTAAAAAGCAAATAACCTCCCCAAACGCCTTCCCATCCTCTTGTTCCCTGAAATAAAACACACAACCAAAACACACAATTCCACATCTTCCTTTCCAAGAAGGGGGGGAAAAAAAAAAAAAAAAGGGAAAAAACCAAATGGTGAGTGACAAGCATTAGTCACGCTGCGTCGTGCGCTATCAGGATGCACCGGCGCGTGCCGAGGAGCGTGCACCAACTTTGCAGCCAGCAAGAGCCTGCTGGCTACGGCTGCGCAGCGTTGGGGACGAGGCTGCCTCCAAAAAGGCCAGCAAAAGAAGCAACAAATTCTGCCATTATGTAACAGTTGACAAATGCCTTTTGTTATGCAAGACAAGTGGGAGAAAAATAAGCATCTTTGCCCTTTGTGGGAAGGGAACAGCAGTCGGCTCCCTGCTAGAGCATAAACAACAGGCTGTGGATCTGGGGGGGACCGGCGCACTCTGTGCAACAGAAATAGATTATTTGGAAATGCCTCATTATTTAGATGAGTGAGCATAAAAATACAGAATCAATATGTAATTAGTAAGCGATTGAGGTTGTCAGCGTGGTAATTTGATAATTTTGGGAGTTTTGTCAAAGGAGAGAGGCTAGCGAGCAGCCGATCGCTAGCCTTGTTTGCCAGTTGTCTTAAAATTAGGAATCTATGTCCCCTTCCCTCACATTTGGTCTTTTAGGCTTTTTAAAAGTGATTATTAAAAAAAACACAACCACATTTGAATTTAAACACTAGTCCCAAGTCTGTTTTTAGACTTACTGAAAATACCAGACCAGACCCACTTCTCAGCTTAGAGCTAGAACAGAGCATCATTTTCCTTTGCAACCTGCTGGCTCCCGTACGCTGCCGAAAGCTATAGAAATCAGCCCCTCGTTTACAGTCTGAGAGAGTAAGGAAATAAGTCTTCTGAGCTATCTGAGGCTCTGGAAGTTGTTTTGGGGTTTGTTTGTTTGTTTTTTGGTTTTGTTTTTTTTTTTTAAAAACCAAGTCAAACAGCATGACCACTGGCAACACAAAAGTTATTTTTTTCCAGGATTGCCCGGAAGGCTGCACAGCGCAGGCAGCCGCTCTCCATCCAGCTCCGTGGTACCATCCCACCACCCTTAGGGATGGGTCCCCACAGGGACCCACCGCCACCCCCAGCCATCCTCCCAGTGCTGAGTGCCATAAAGCGACAGTGACATCCAGTGGCAGTGCACACCCATCCACAGCACACCCCCCCCAACCCGTGGCAGCGAGGCTGAGCAGCACCCATGTCCCATTACACACGCTTAAGCCTTGGTTCAAACGCAGCCACCAAACGGCACTGTCAGCTACTGACCATCCCCTCAAAGTGCCTGAAAAGTGACGGTCCTCTCACTAGTGTGCTGAGAAGGGTTCTTGCTTTAAAGCAAATTTTAGGTGCTTGGGTAGACTGGGCTGGGTGAGCCAGGCTGCACAAATAGCTGCGCTGGGCATCAACGCAGGGGAACAGAGACAGCACAGAAAAAACAACTTTGCAGAAGCCAGCAGGACTCGCTGCTGGGTGGGATGGAGCCTCAGATCTCAACTGTGAGGAACAAACATTTCGCAGGGTGAGGATTTGTGCAGACAGTACAGTCATTTCTCAGCTCATTGTTGCTACCACCCAACAGGACCACGGTTAAGCAAGAGTTATTGCCCAAGCATGAGTCAATGTGTGGTGTTTGCTCATATAAATATTTTTAAAAGTGTTTTTTGTTCTTTTTTTTTTTTAAAGCAATTATGCTGTCCTTCAGAAAATCCAGATTCAGTTCCAGGACTCAAAGAAAAGAAACTGAAGCAGCTTTACATCACTTGGGGTCTCTGCAGAGGTTCTGCAGGAACACCTGGGTCAGAGACAGTCACCACCAACACACCCGCAAAGTCACTGCCCAGCAGCAAGAATGACAGATGAGAGGTACTCGCATAGCCAGTGTCACATTGGCACCAAGCAGGAAAAGCATTTTCCTGCTCAAGTAGAGCCATCTACACTTGGCATTTTTGCAAAAGGATCAGCAAGTGAAGACATGATCAGTGATGGAGCTAGAGGAGTTGGGCTGGTTGAACTGCTGTCTCAGAAGAGACACAGGAGTAGGAAAACCAGCAGGAAGAGAAGCTATATAGCATAAGGCAGTAGTAAGGAAGGAGAAGACACCCCCCTTTGTTGGCCCACATCGGTTGGCATTAATTAGTGTGTCTTTACATAGCAATCTGGATGCTCAAAACATACTTGTGGTTTGCCTTTGGGCCCACCCTAGCAAAGCCACACACGCTTGTCTTCTGGAGCAAAAATGCAGACCAACCTGTAGCAGGCGTGTTTGCTAACCAGAGTCACTGGCAGCCTGTTTACTCCAGCCAGACTCCGGCATACGCAAACCCCAAAGGAGGAATGAAAAAGGGACATTAGAAGCAATTGCTGACAAGATTGGCTTTGCCACAAACAGGTGCCACAGTCTGCCTGCGGAAGGAGGATTTGTCCCACATAAGCCTACTTTTCAAGCTGCTAAAATGCAATCACATGTCCTGTGGGAGTTCTCATGCACTAACCATCTTGCTTTTCAATTCTTTTTTCCCCAGTCTCTCTATTTACCTCTAAAAAAGTCCAATCTGGTATGTAACAGCTCTGAGGGAGCACTTAAAATCCAAATTGATAAACTAAAAGTCAAAAAACAAGAGCTAGCTAGACAGCGTGATCTGGGAGGCTGAGTAGGAGTCCCACACTAACCTGCTGGCTGAGCAGCTCCAGGCAATCCTCCTCCGCTTGTCTGCTCCCCTGTAAGAATAGGAAAAATATCACTCAACCAATTCTTACGTAGATAAATGCACCAGAGACACAAAGTGCATGAAACACTAAAAATTAGTGCAAGTGAAACATAGTGAACATAGCAAAGGTTTGGGATTGCTGGTTGAGAGCGTAGGTAACGAGACATCACGAGCAGCCTGGTGTTCCTACAGATCTCTGGTGACAGTGTATTTGTGGAATTGAACCATATGCAGAATCCACCCAGTAAAGCCCCCAGAGGACAGCTTGGGCACACCAGTATCAGCTCCTGTAGAAGATACAGCTTCTTAGAGGAGTTATGCCTCCCTTTTAACTTTGTGGGTTTTTTGTTTTTAAGGTTCTCACAGACAACTTCAGAGGTCAACAGAAAGACAGAAATCAATTAATACAGTATCATCACCTGAACAAAAAGCAGGGAATGAAGACAGTCTTCATGGTTTCCCAAAAATCACAAAATACTGAAATACTTGCAGCGTCATAGCAACAAGCTTCAACCTGAGCAAAATGAAAATTATGCTATTTTAAACAATGTGATCTTATTTATTATTATCCTGGAGTTTCCTAACACCTATGTACCAGCATCAAGACCTGATCGAGGATGTGTAAGTATCAGAACCACCTTTACTACATTATTCTTTTTGTATAAACCCCAGTAATGGAAGAGCAGCATCTGTAAGGAAACAGGCAACTGCTCCTTTCCTTGCTATGGCAGAAACCTTTTTCTAACGAAAGCAGGGTCTGTTCCCCATTCATTTCTACTCAAACATACACACACACATATGCAATCCCTCCACATGGTCAGCAGCCGTACCAACTGGAGAGGAGAAACCAAGAGAGGAAGGGAAGAGACCAGTGCATGGAATATATTCTGGTAAAAAAAAAAATTTCATAGCTTTACACATACACTTGCCATTTCTAACTGTTTTAAGCAAATAATGGCTATGAGCCCATACACAAGCCAGTGTTCTTGGCAGATGCAGCAGCTGCCATCCATTGATTCAGACCGAGATGGCTGTAGCCCTGTTCGACTGCTGCTGCAGGAAGAGGCTCACCTGAGAGCTAACGCTTCAGGACAGAAATAGTGAGAAAATAGTAACAAAACTGGTTGTGCTTTAGGGTTGGCTAGATTTGATTTACGGTAGAATCCAGGTTTTAAGAAAACATCAGAAACATCAAAAGCTTGGCATGGAAATCTTTCAGTCTGACCAGCAGAAGCCCAGAGATCCTTCCTTCCTATATGCTGATAATCAGATGGTTGGGTAGGGGGCTTAGTTATTTATTGTCTTCAGACCTGAACTCAAGTAAGAAAAATCCCTCCTAGATCCCTTCGGAAGGGCAGATAATACAGGCCATTTTTAGCATCAAGACAAGAGATTTCCTTTTTAAATGGCATCTTGGATCACATCCACAGACCTTGGCAACAGACTAAAGTCCCTGGCTGTGCTGCCCGTGGAGGCACCGCTGCCAATCCTACACAGAAAATCGTTCGTGAGAGGTTGCGAAGGGGGATGTCGTGCATTGCCTTCACCGGGCAACAGATTCAGCTTCTTGCATTGGGTTTCACTGTGCGTAAGAGCAGACACTTGTGTGGTGCTAGCAGCAGAACACGAGGAATTTTCTTAGAATAACAGAATATTTCTTTCAGCTAAAGGTTTCAGTCTTCCTCTGTAGCACACACTCTATAAACCAAATGTAGTAGCACATGTAGCTGCATCAGAAAAATACTGTACGCCCTCAAAATGTCACACTAGTTTAATACAGAACTGAGCAAGATTAAAGTCTGCACAAGACTTGGATTATTCTACAATTTTTCCAGTAGGACTTGAGGTGACTTAGAAGTGACAGGAAAGCTCTCAAGGAAAACTGAGCTCTGCCAGAAATAACCTCACAGTTTCCTGAATGACATGGGCAAAGAAAAAAGATTTCACCTTCGGAGGTCCCTGCTCTAGATGTATAATGAGAAAACCTTCGGTTAAACTACAGGATGCATCAGTGCCACTCACGCAACGTTACAGGGATTGCTTTTTCCTGCTGTTTAATTTTGGAAGCTGGCGGGCAGTGGTGCTACCACAGCAGACTTGCACAACTGCATGGCTTGTAGCACTCAAAGCACATTTCCTAACTCAGGCTGTTTGCTCTTTTCAATTTAAATGGAGCATCAGGGAATTCATGGAAGTGTTGCACAACCTTGGCTTTGGCTCTCAAGGAAAGTCAGATTTTTATGCATTTTATCAAGTGTCAATGCGTAGTCTAGAACCAAAGGAAAAAAAGAAAGACACAAAAACCCACTTACCCCCAAAACCACAAACCTGAAGAGATGCAAGCAGAGGCCACTATTCACAGTTAAGTTCAGGATAGTAAAGCACACATTTTGTGCCATAGAAAGCAGAAACTTTGTTCAGTGGGAAACAAAAGATGTCAGGAATAAGCAGAACTTGTGCTGTCCAGGGCCCTGCAGCAGTGATGCCTCGTGGCAGCCGGTCACCCTGGGACAGACATCCCCCGGCCAGGAGCCATCCCTGTCAGAGATGCACTAGACTTTCTGCCAGCCAGAAAGAGCTCCCTGTGCCTCAGAAAGTCCAAGGGAGCATTTCTCTCAATTCTTAAAAAAACCCAGACCACCCACAAACAAACCAGCCTCCCCCCAGCAGCTCGCCTCAAGCCAGTTCTAGGGGAATTGTGGTCACATTTCGTCAGCGTGAGGAAGAGCGCGGTCCCTTCTGATGTCAGGGTTTCGGACTTCACACAGGCTAACCAGGGGAAGAAAGTCATTACTGGGAGGCAGCTTTTACCCCGCTTGATTTGTTACCTCCCCAAAAATCAGCAGTACAGCCTCATACCTCTCTTTTCAACACCAGGTTACCTTTACCTGGGCAGGAACAGTTTGGGGTTTTGTTGTTAGTTCTTCCTTCACACCAAATGAAGTGAATAGACTTTTTACTCAGTCCCCTGCTTTTGGTTTGTGCTTGGTAGTTTGGCTTCAGCACTCCCAAAATGTCAACGTTTCCCTGGGGAAAAGGGAAAGAATTGAGAAAGTTGCAGGAACACACGCAGACGCCCGGGGACTTGCATCTTTCACCCATTTAATTTGCATCTTTCACCCATTTAAATTTGCGTGGATATGATGTATCAGGCTACACAACCACAACAGGCACTGCCACAGCCCTGATGACTTCAGCCTCACCGCCTCTGGAGTCATCCTTCTTTTACAGAAGGTGAACCTGGCACAGAGGCCTTACCTGGTTCCTCAGGGTGCAGCACCTTTCCGTTGCACTTGGCCTCCTAACAGCTGGAGCAGTGTTCGAAGGCATTTTTCCTTTGAAAACTGAAATCGCAGACCTGTGAAATGAGGAGAGACCTCTGCCTGAGCCCAGTGCACAACTGGAAGTTCATAGGTCATTTACAGGCAAACTGAAGACAAACTTAAATGACTCAGAAACCTGATGGTTTAAAAATAAAAGCTCCTAGAAATGCTGATTTCCAACCTTTCCTGTGCATAGGCAGCCACACGAGATGCTTTTGTGCTGTGACTGCAGAAAAAAGACCAACAAGCAAGGAAGGATCCAGGTCTGACAGCTAACGAGGGCCCCCACCCTTCCATGGTTCACACTTCACAGGTACCCAACAGGCTCAGACAATCACCACTGCAGCTCACAACCACCATCTGCAGTGAGTTGCCCATAAAGGCCGCTGTTAACATCCTCACTTTGTACCCACAAGAGCATCTGAGTATTAAGGGCTACAGCAAGTCCCCAAGGAACATGGAGCAACTGGCACATGTAGGGTATCAAAGGTAGGAGCCTTCAGAAGTGCCATTAAGAACCAGAAACAACTTCGTTGTGCCATTTGCTTTCTCCTGGAAATGCTCTTGACTGTCCCATTCCAGGGAAATGTGGAGGCTTGGGAAAAGGGTTTCCCTGCCTCTGGACACCACTACAAGACACAAGAGCCACTCCGAAGTCTCATTACAGATCTGCTCCACAGACCAGAAGAAACTAGACCGTACCCACCTACTCCTGAACGCAGGGAACAGCAACCTGCCTGCTCCTTCTCCCGGGGCCTCGCTGGGCAGCTGGGATACAGTGGGATACAGCGGGATACAGCCCCCTTCCAGGAGCTTTTACGTGGCTGGAGATTGGAGGAGCCACACAGGTCTTCATCAGCAGTGAGCTTTTAGGGAAGTTTCCAGATAAATCTGCATAAATGGTCAATCGAATTATCAACAAGACAAGTTGAAAAGGGGAAAAAAACAGAACCAAAGAACTATGGCACCTCTCCCCATGCAAGCCCTCTCTTGTTAGAGAGTACGTGCCTGGAAAGTGGGTCTGGTCCATGGAAGCAGCCAGAACTACCTCTTCTTTCCAACTCAAGACATTTCAGCTTAAAACTGGTGGTGGGTTCACAACGCTGCTGGGCACAACCTCCTCCCTCAGAAAGGGTAGGACATTCTTCCTCCTGGGTGTGTGCAGGGCTGGTTTTGTTTTTGTTTTAAAATCTCAACACAGTCAACTGCCAACAGCTAGAGGTATTTTCAGACACAGACATTGCCACACTGACGTAGTCTAGTGTAAATTACTGAACTATAAATACCACTTCATCTATTTCGAAGTGCATTGTCTAAAGATTCTCATTTAAATAAATAGAGTAGAAAAAACTAAAGCCATGAAAACCTATAGCCTAGTTTCATTAAGTGCTTCTGCTTTTTAATTCAACTGCTGGAGTATCAGAAGATCCTAGGTGAAAAGGCAACCACATTTACAACTCCATATACAGTACAGAGTATCAAACACAAAACGAAGGGGCCAGCTACAATGAAAGCTCCCCCAAAGCTGTATCATCAGAGATTTATGGAAACGAAATAATCTTGCTCAGGGAAAATTAGTCAGCCTTGTACAGCTTCTTCCAGCAATAATGGCAGTAATGGTATCAGAAGTTATCCAACCAATATTTACTCTGGTTTTGAAGTTAACTGGGTAAACTGGACACGCTCGCAGACTGATGCATGACCTGCTCTCCCTACGGTTAGTTAATTAAACCAACAGCAACATCCTGGGGACCCACGCTGCACAGAGTAGTGAAGTTGACAGCAAGGGGGGCTAACTCACTCCAAGGAGGTGTGCAATTCTCTTCCATCCCTAGGGAGCCAGCCTGGACGCACGCCAGGGCTGGGCTCACCAGAATAAAGGTTAATGTTGGCAAAATAGCTCAGAGGAAACAATGAACGCAGACCCGCTGCAGGCCAGCTTCAGTGCCCCAGAAGCTGCGTTCAGATCAACTCAACTTCTAGCCTTGCTCTAACTTAGTGTTGAGAAGTAGAGACAGCTAAATACCACTTTTACGCACATTATGATAAGGCGGGGGGGGGGTAAGGCGGAGCAAGAGGCCAGCTATTTGTTGAAAGCAAAGTTTTAACTGAATTCAATGCAGATACTTCAAAATGCAGGAACACTATATTTATTAGGTCAATATTTCATTTTAGCAATACAATTACAGAATATCACAATGCTGGTTACAAACATAGTATGGTTTGATGGTTACAAATAATGTCGGGCACTGCAGTCTGTGAGAAGAGGATACAAAACGTTAGTCTTGACACGACAAGTAGGGTGGTCTTCAAAGTCTAGTAGTGATCAAGATACTCTCATAAATGAATGTGGCACTACAGGCAGAGATTCTGGTTTAGAGGTGGTTTTTATATAAGTAGTTCGATTTATACAGTTATACAGTTCAAGCAACATCTTTTTTAAAATGCTATTAAATTAAAATCCCCTGTAGTTCAATAAAGTATAAAAATAGTACTGAACCTGGTAATATTCAATAAAATGTAGAGTTCATTCACATCATTAAGTAGTAAAGAAATTGTAAAGTTGTAGTTACCATGGCAACATTGCTTCCCATAAAGGAATATACATAAAAGAAAAAAGTTACACATATGGTACCTGCGACAATTATTTAGCGATCCAACACTGAACTTGTGCACCACAAACCAAGTTTCTAAATATCTCTATATATTTATATAGTATATATCTTTTTCATCTTAAAATTTACTTTTGAAAAAAAAAATGTGCACTTCAACAAACCC